GCAGGAATAGGTCTATGTCCTTTGTCCTGATTAGAGCAGCTCGTTGAAGTCATTGTGCTAAGGACAAGAGGCTATGGGCACAAACTGAAGCACATGAAATGCCATCTGAACATATGAAAACACTTTTCATTGTAAGGGTTGTTAAACACTGGAATAGGTTGTCCAGAGAGGTTTTGGAGTCTTTGTCCCCACGGACATTCAAAACCTGACTGGCCACAGCCCTGGGCAACTTCCTCTACTTGACCCTGCTTGAGCAGGGGGTTTGGACTACCTCAACTCCAGAGGTCCCTTCCAACCTCAATGGCTCTGCAGTTCTGTGATTCTGCTTAAAACTTACTGGTTAAAAACTGTTGGGTTTAGGGAGATTTAAGAATACCTCTCACCTCAGAGGGATAGAATAACATAAAGGAAAATCGCAGCATTTCTTTAGCTTCCTCCTCATCAAGAAGGATGTGGGGAGGGGAGGGTATGTTAGGACATCCCTGGACTGATTGCTGGAGAGACAAGGTATGGAAGAGTGTACTTCATTGTGTGAGACCTACCACTGATGGTAAGATCTGTTATAGCAGGAGACTGCTTGCTCCTCAAAGTTTCAGCTCAGCTAAGTAGTGATCAGAGAGCTCTATTCATACTTCCAGTCAAGTTTAAATTTAAGAGCAAATACACAACACTCCAAGAATAATTGATCTACAATATATGCTGCAGTTGTAGTCTGTGGTATTTGTTGCTTCCCTGAAAGTAACTTGCAACCTTACAAATCCAACCTTCAGTACTGGAATCAAAGCGCAGTCTGAATCCTCGGGCATTTACTGATCTATCAGTGACAAACTTGACGTAAGCAAAACTGTCAGAGGTGTCCACAGCATCAGGGAGAGTATTGCCACAGTACCTGCCCAATAAATTTCCTGCAAAAATGAAATACAGAAAGACATTTTTATATCAATATATTATTTATATTTATACTAAAGGATCACTTTCCAATTTAACCAGACAGGCACAAGTAAACTAGTAAAATCAAGTTATTGCTGGGAAATACAAGGGTTTTGTTTGCCTTACTTTGCTTCAGCAAGCAAGGCAGACAGAAGCAAATACTGTACATTGAAAAGGCTCACTTTGTACCCAAAGGGAAATGCTTTCAGGAACCTCTGGTGAGGTTTCGTAGTAGTACTAGGGAAGGGAAGACAAACACTGAAATATTTCTCAGACCAGAAGCGTTGTATTCTCGGATCTCCACAAAGTCATTCGTGCACTCGGAGGAGTTTTGAATATCTAGGCCTTCTAGTCTGATGGTAAGATAGTGGCCCCTGGGACCCTGCAGAAACCATTCACACAGCAGGTTGTCTTGATAGTGAAGCTCAGGATACCCCATGCTTTGAATGATGCCAGTTTGTCCTATCACTGTCCCACCACAGGGAGCTGGAAAAAGAATAACATTGTTTGGTTGACTGAAGGACCTCAGAGAGGTGACCTTTCTCCAAAATGCAACTAAGGCTAAGACACAACTGACTTGTTCTCTGACTGTGGTAATAAAACAGCAACTGCCTTCCAGCTAAAAAATCTTCCACATTCTCTTTCATTCTCTTAATTCAACCAACCAGTTCTAGTTTGTTGTGTTGTTTGGGTTTTTTTCCACATGCTCCTTCCATTGCAAGTATCCCTTCCTCTCTGACATATCTCATTAATTTGAATAAACTCATAGACTTCAAGTTCTATATCTAATCTCTACCCATGTCCATATTTACCAGAAAATCTTGTAAAGCTGTCTATAAAGGAATTTAGTTAGCTGAATGTGGATCTATGACTGACGGAAGCTGACTGCTGGTTTGGGCCTACAGCTATGGTTCAAACTCCTCTTTCGAGAAGTCCCTTCTAGTTCACATTCAACTCGTGCAATGCCTTGATATGGGATCATTGCACAATTCAGGAAACATTTATTTTTAATTTTCTCTCTCACTCTAATTGAAAGAAGCATGTATCTGTCAGTTCACCTCATAAGCCTGATTTAAGCCCTATTACAAAAGCTTCTCTAAAATCAGAGGAATTGATAAAGGCAAGCATTACCAATGGAGTATTTAGCATTGAATCCCGTGCGTGTCACACTGCTATCAGACCTGAACCTCAGGTACATAACAGCTCCCGAGGATCTCTGCGAGCCTGGTGTCAAACCACCACACAGCTTGGCAATGATGGGGGCAGTGGAGTCGGCACCATTGCGTAGCTCTAGGTAACTGGAAGTGCAGCTAGGAGAGGAGAGAATTTTCTGTTCAACATATAGCAGTAATGGTTTGAAATCATTTCAGTACGTGCACAAAGTCACAAAGCTGTAGTGAATTAGATCAGTTTCCATGCAGTGTGACCAGGACAGAACAAACAAGTTCATAAGATCAGTTTCCATGTAGTGTGACCAGGACAGAACAAACAAGTTCATAATCAATGATAGTTATGGAATATTTGAATCAAAAGAAGTGCTAGAGACATTGAGAAAGATTCATCCCAAGCCCAATCTATGATCAGGTCAGATCTGACAGATGTGAGTCCTAGGGAGGGGTATGAACAGTGCTGATAATGTAGTTGTGACCACCTTTAACATGTTTTTTTTTACAGCATTCAGATTCAGCAGGTATTCCCTATTGAGTCTCATTGATGACTGCTGAATTAAAGAACAGATATAAGAAAGATGAAGGGAATAAAAATTCAAATCTGGGGGCTTACTTAGGTGGGCATAGAAAGACCCAAAATATCTTAACTAACAGCTTTGTATTCAGAATGGTTCAGTGTCCTGGGAAGCCAGACAGAAAAGACACCTCTGGGATTTTCCATTCTGCACTGTTTTTTCTGGACACGGTCTCCTAAGTGAGGTTCACCTTTGCCGTATACCCGTCCAGCCTCAAATAAATGAAGCTACAGCAGCTGGAAACTAGGCCTTGTTTTATGCTTCAGGCAGGGGGTGCAAAACATGTGGACCCATTGCAAATCAGCAAACAGGCAATGGAGAAAGGGGACAAATTGTTTTGGTGGTAATCCATAGGATTTAAAAGCGCCCGAGAGTCAAAATGACTGAAAATCTGAATATGAAAGGACTAGAGGGCACAGATTTTACAGAAAGCACCTTACTACCATGGATGCTTCCTCTCTCTCTGTTATACTCATTTTTGTCATCCAATGCAAAGTCCTGGGAATGTATACTAGTGGCCTGATAGCTTCAGTCCTCTCTCTCAAAAATTTCATAACCACTTTTGATTGTAAATCTAAAAGTGCACTCTGGGAAGAATTAGAGAAAGTAACAGGGAAAGAAGAATCAGAATGGAGTCTCTGAAGAAAAACAGGCAAAGTAATGTGGATGTATACTTTGGTGAAGGTTCAATGTAAAACTGATCTTCAAATTGCAGCTCTACTGCATGTCCATTAGGAGCAGTTATGGTCCACACACAGTCAGCATGAGGGGGATAATTGCTTGGATAGTTGGGGGAAGATGTATATCCACTGGGGTTGAAATCATTTATATAAATATTCCCTCCACAAGCTGGGAAAGAAAAGATCACCAATAAAAACCAACATGTTAAGGAAATAGGTGAGGCATCAAAAATATGACTTATCACTATGTTCCAACACAATTTCCTTTCGGTGTCATATAGTCATATCAAAACCAAATGCATTTCACTGCTTATCATGGGAAAACATTTTAATGCAGTAGAATCCTATGCTCCTGTGCTCCTGCTTACCTAGCCCTCCTCATTTGCAAATGTTCAGGACCCTGAATTAAATTGCCATTAGTTTTTCCTTGAACTGTTTCTAAACCAGGCAAGACACATATTTCTTGCCTTGTTCCTACCGCAGTTCCCAAGAGCTAGAAAGCCTACAAGTCAGACCTATCAATGCTTCAGTGAATTATTCCACACTTCTGTGCTTCAAAAATTGAAATGTCTGACACAATAATGAATGTGTGAGGAACGTCAGTCAGAGCAAACATGAGGATTTGTTCAGGTCCTTTATCCTACAAAAATATCTGTATTTTGGCTAGAACCTTTTTGTCAACCCTTCCCCCCCATCCCCCACTATGTTCTAGCAATACTGGTTTAACACAGGGTATTAGTCAAGTTTTATAAATTGAAGTGGTAGAAATACTATCACACAGCTTCACTCACTCCCCTCATGAAACCCCTACAGTAATGCTAAGAATGATTCTTTGTGGCAGCAGGGAAAAGTAGGCAGAAAATGAGCACTTAAAAATCTTCCTAATTATAGGTGCAACTTCCCTGCTAAAGTGTTCCCCATAAGTTTTTTATTTTAACTTTAATATCTCCAGGTTCTGTGACCTGGAGCTGGCTCTCTTTAAAAAGGAGAAATTTGAAAGTAGGATCAGAAGTTATGCACTAAAGAAGGAAACAGGATATTTTTTCAGACATCTGATTTTACCAGGGTTGGGACTTACAAGAACCTCCTTTAAGATTATAAACTCCAAGTTATATCTATTGAGTTGCAGAATTTAAGTTTATTTCCTAGACTTACCTAGACTCTTAGCCTCGTATTTCAGTTTGAATCCTTGACCCTCATTCCTGTTATCAGAAATGAAGTGGACAAACAGCTGATTGTCTGTGGTGTACATGGTAGAGATGGGGCTGCTTCCACAAAACCGTCCACTCCCTCTTCCAGACACCAAAGGTGGGGCAGCATTATCTAACCCATTCTTCAGCTAGAAGAAGAAAAATTGCTGATGTCACCCAAACAAACAGCCCTGGAATGTAGACTCTGAGCGCACACACACTATCTTAATGCTTCCAGCCATGGGGGAAAACAATAACCTAGTGATTAATTAGTGCACAGGAATACATAAGAGAGAGAGAAATAATCTCTGTGGTATTTCTTTTTGGTATTTCCATGCCCTGACAACCTGGGCTACCTTAGTGACACTGAAATCTGTAAGATTGAGTAGCTTTAATAGCTTTGAGGATTTGGTGACGTAGCCAATGACCTCACCTCTACATAATCTCCATGGTTGCAGGAAGTATCCTCGCTCTTAACCTGGAAAGGCTGTTCAAAATGGACAGCAATGATAAATCCAGAGGTTACGACTACATGCCAGGAACAATTCAGATTAGGAGCATAGTCTTGAGGGTAGTTGGGGGATGTTATCACACCCCTGTCTGTGTGTAAATAACCTCCGCAACCTGAGAAAAAGGAGTTTGAAGCAAACAAAAAAAAAATATTAGCACCAACTATTTACATATTCATTCAGAGAAAAACCCTGTCTCCTAAAAGGAAGATGTGACAGGTAAAAGCAAATGTTGAAGCAACTGTACGAAGAGTTGAGGGACACAGAGCAATGCACACAATTCTTGATCTCCCAAACACAAGCTAGTAGATTGCAAGATGACACATACCAAACATTCTGACAGTGAGACTCAGCTCTCAGACTTAACAGACGAGTAAGCAGGCAGCTATGCCAAGGACTTCCCATGGCATGAGCATACTGTTACACTGTCTGAGTACATTTCTTCTAGCCATGGACCAAACCACTGTCACCTACTGAAGTTGTCAGTCAGAAAAAGTTCCTCTGGCTGCCCATTGTTATCATAACATCTTCTTCCTTGGTGCCTCAACCCATTCAGAAATCCGTTATCATCCCTCAGGTGCATGTGGGAGAAGTGCTGGAAATTGCTGACATTCCTGCCGGAACTTACAGAGCTTTCTGCATCTGTCTCTCTCTGTTTTGAGTCTATGTTTTGAGTCATTTCCCTCTCTTACTTGGGCACTCTTTCACCCTTCAGTTGAGCTGATATAAACTTAGGCATACACTTTGCTTACTTCTGAAAAGTGACCGGTCTGGTTGAATCATTTTTTGTTGTATATTGCTGGGAAAATAGCAAATTTTACTTTCGCAGGGTCAGACATTTATTAATGCATATTCATGACATGAATAATTGGTTTGTGTGATTAATTAGATAGACTGTAGATAGCTGTTAAAAATGCTAGATTCTTTTCTTTCCTTACCCCATTGTTAGCAGCAAGGCAGGCATTTATCTGGGGGAGAAGAGAAATAAATCTTACTTTTGTGATAAGAGGAGTTAAACCCAGCTCCAGTGACACTTGCGTCTGACATAAAGTGGATGAACATTGCCTCTCCAGTTGATCTGATTGGCCCAGGAGGTTCTTGTCCACACAGAGTAGCCAGCACTGGAGAAAGACTAGTGTCCCCTGAGATCAAAAGAAGACATATTAATGTTCAAACCAAATCAGTTCACATCTGCCTGTTGGTTGCTGTGGCTCACTCTTTCAGGCAGGTACTTTTCAAGAGCTTTAACCCTTTACAGATTGAGAAATATTTTTATAGACCACCAAATATTTTGCTAGACTTTGCTAGTTTTATTTTATCTAGCAGAATGTCTCAGCATAGAGAAAGAATACTGATTTAGAGCATGTTCCTGTTGCTATCTAGACTGCTTAAGTTCAATGCATATGAGAATTCCAGGTACTGGGACCTTGGGTAACTATTGCATGCTGTCGGGGTAGGGCTTCTCACCATCTTGGATAATAAGTTTGTCATAGTTGCATGAGCTGTGAGATTCTATGTCTAAGGCCAGGATATTGAACTCCACAGTGGATCCAGGAGCTCTGATAAGCCACACACAGTCATCAAAATTTTTGTAATTCATGGGCCAGCCCGGTGAGAAGAGGACTGAAGGTGTTTCTTCAGCTGTTCCAGTCCCTCCGCATGCACCTGTCACATACAAGAAGACAGACATTAACACATCCTCTTTTTAAACTGAACACTCCCTTCATATAATTTAAGTGACAGTCCTATAGTTAAGCACAATGGGGGCACAGTGATGATGTGTGTAGTCACAGAACGTATTTCTTCAAGCATTGCTTCAGTTTGGATTCGGAGTACAAAACCTGAAAATCCTGACCTGTAAGGATGTTCCTGTACTAGCTGGTGCAGCAATGGTATGACCTATATTACCATGAGATATATCTAGCAGAAGACCTAAGAGCATCTACCACTGTTTAACACAGGTTGCATATCAAAAAGGAATGGTGCATACATAACCAATAATACCTAATCAATTTAGACCCTCTTGAAATTGAAGTAGTTTTCTTTCTCCACTCCTAAGCTCTCAGCTATAAGTTTAGATCAAGACAGAGTCCTTGTTGGGATATCTAGTGGCTCAGTGCTCTCCCAGCACACAAACCCACTACATACTGCCACTATCCTGCAGAGCCCCAGGGACCTTTAGTCCTTCTATCCCCGGAAATCTGCCTTCAGATTTAGAAAGAAGACATTGCACTATATCCTAGTTAGTCTTAACTTTCTCTTGTTGAACTTGCTCAGAGAAAATCAGTGGTACAGGAAGCATATTCCCTCTCCTTCCAGGAGCTATTTGTCAGAGGTAACGAACACACCAAAAATATTCTCTTTATTTATGGATATGAGATACATTATAGTGAAAGGTTTCATATCACATTGGCCAGTGATTTAAGAATGGTATTTCAAGGGGGATACTTTTTCATGAAAGCATATAAAACGTTTAGCTTTCATGAAATACCTGTGTAAAGAAAAAGGCCCCTCTATCAACTTGATTTTTTTTTTTAAACACTGTAAAACAATATATCTGAGAATCCTTAGAAATTGTTTTCAAAAGCTATGAAAATGTCTAATTAAAACATCACTGAAAGTTTTCCCTTTGTTAATAGCTAGGGCTTTCTCTTGTAGGGAAGTTGGCTTGGAGGTTTTTAGGTAAAGCACAGTATATCGCTCACTATATCACTTTTAACCTTGCCACCCACTGAAAACCGACCTATAGCAATGGTGTGTGTAACAGCAGAAGCATCCGCGGCATACCACTCCAAAAGAAAGCCTTTTCCATTCACAGACGGATCGGACAGGAACTGGATTGTCATCGAACTGCCAGAGGATGCAAAAGAAGCAGGATCTGCACCACAGTATGTTGCAATAGGACGAGAATGAATGGTGGGCCCATCATAAACCTGCAGAGAGAAGGAGAGTGGTGCTGTTCCTCACACAGGCAGGTTTTCATCTGCTCCATACACAGCAAATTTCCAAGGAGAAAATTAACCTCTTTAAATGAGTGAGGGACCTTTCAGCAAATCCCAGTTAGAGAGAAAACTCTATTACAAAAAATGGAAGAAAATCTCCCTTTCCATTATATACTGTTAGTTTTTAAGCTTTCACAGAAGCTGGATCTGAATTCAGCTCATTCCCCACCACAGGGCTGCTCTTTGGGAACATGGACTGGCCTCTCATGTTAAAGAATTCCACTGGTATAATCTTGTTCCTTGCTGAGGAAAAAACCAACACAATCTGCAGGAAAAAAAAAGGCATTGATTTTCTTTTTTTTTTTTTTTCTTTTTCCCCCTCAAGAATACATCTATTTTAAATTCTATCTAATAAATAAACAATGTTTTTTTAAAATTTTAAGTATTTATAAGCCATGTTCTTGGATGGCTAAAAGATGTTTCTCTTTTGCCACCTTTCAAACCTATTAGTGTTCTTGTCCTCTTCCCTCCAGTAAAAAAAAAAAGCCCAGTAGAGAAATCTAGGAAATATTAAATAAACATTAACATTACATTGAAGATCTGATCCTTGAGTCAGATTAAAGGTCAGGCTGATTCACACCCACAGAATGTCTTGCTGATTTAAGAAAGTCATTTTTCTTTCAGAGGCACAGACAAAGAAAGGCAAGCCGAGTTAGAAGAAGATGCTGTTAAAATCTGACATGAGACGAAGGAAAAAGTTTTATTTCCTTTTGGAACTAATATTAAATTTGGATATCAGTGCATAAATATTGAATTGAATATACTGAATATGTTAAACTAGTATTAACTTTCTCTTAAGTTTAACTAAGTTCAGAAAGAAGTTGTTGCCTCTATTGCTCCATTTAGCTTAGCACTATGCGTACTTTATTTTTTAGCCTGGTAGAAAGGTTAGGCTGTATTACTGGAGGGTACAGAAAAACAATCAAACAGGAAGAAAGAGATACCTTCCCACAGCCAACAGCAAATTATTGATTCAGACAGCAAAGAAGATGCAAGTAAAGGATTGTTCTTTGTAGGATTTTAAAATAACCTGATTTTTAGAGGCACTGAGACATTACTATGACTGTTGTCCTCAACTGAACCAGCACAGAGCAAAGTTCAACCTGGTATCTGACCCAGAATTATTGGATTTGAAAATCCAGTATTGTACCATTGTGGACTTATTTTTAATACGTTTCAAACTCACAGATTGGAAATATCTATTAGGGAGCCAAAGAGTATGTAAGCCTTCCTATAGCTAATAATTACTGAAAAGACAACATAACAAAAACAATAAACCACACCAGATCCTTGGAAATTTTTCCCATTCCTCTTGTAGGTTTCTCTGGTCATTATTTTTATCAAACTTAATTGAAATAAAAGAAACTTCTCACAATGAAATCACCTTTAGCATGTCATAACGGCATCTGTGATGATTTTCAATATCCATCTGCAGGATATGGCCATGGATAACTTGTGAAGCGCTAACACTTATTCGCCACTGGTAATTGGAATTGTGAGGGTAACTTCTGGGCCACTGTGGTGAAGCTATTTGTCCTCTGTTTCCCACAATGTCATTTCCATACACTGAAAAAAAAAAAAAAAAAAAAAAAAAAAGAGAGAAAACTAATGCCTCTAATTCACATAGATTAAAAGAAGGATTGGGGCCCAGTCTGGAATATACCTTTAATTTCAGGCTATCTGACTTAATTTACTTAGGAATAGACAGGGCTGTGAGGAATAGACTTGTGTCTCAGACAGTCCTAGGATCTATATCTAATTATCTTCTTGTTCTGAAGAATGCAGTGAGCCTTTATCTGAAGGAAATTACCCATTTGAGTCATGTGGTTCTACATGTAGGAGAGATGGGATGATGGCACATCAAAATGCCACCCTGACTCTGGCTACCTTGTGTTCATTTCTTCCCAAGAAGCATTAAAGAATAAAATTATTTATTTTAAATGCTTTTGTGTGTTCTGGAGTGTGGTAGACTTGGTTAGGGTTAGAGCTCATTTTCTTCATAGTAGCTGGTATGGGGCTACATTTTGGATTTGTGCTGAAAACAGTATTGATAACACAGAGATGTTTTTGTTACTGCTGAGCAGCTTACACAGAGCCAAGGCCTTTTCTGTTTCTCACGCCATCCCACCAGCGAGTGGGCTGGGGGTGCACAGGAAGCTGGGAGGGGACACAGCTGGGACAGCTGACCAACCATCTGACCAAAGGGATATTCCATACCATATGACATCATGCTCAGCATATAAAGCTGAGGTAAGAAGAGGGAAGGAGGACGACATTTGGAGTGATGGCATTTGTTTTCCCAAGCAACTGTTGGGCGTGATGGAGCCCTGCTTTCCCGGAGATGCTGAACACCCGCCTGCCGATGGGACGTAGTGAATGAATTCCTTGTTTTACTTTGCTTGAGTGCGCGTCTCTTGCTTTACCTGTTAAACTGTCCTTATCTCATCCCACAAGTATTCTCTTAGATTCTCATCCAGTCCTGCCATGGAGGGAGTGAGCGAGCGGCTGTGTGGTGCCTACTTGCTGGCTGGGGTTAAACCATGACAGTCCTTTTTGGCACCCAACGTGGGGCTTGAAGGGTTCGAGATAACAACAGGTTTGACTGGAATATGCTAGATCAGATTTATAGCTGTTATTGCTGTTTAACTATTAATTGGCAGGTGCCTGTGCTTGCCAGGAGGCTTGATTTCCTTATTGTATGTTAGAGTCCAGCGCTTGTTAGCGGCTGCTTTTTGCTTTCGCTGCTTGCTGTGGTGCTGCACGGCTTATCGTCTTACTCCGCTGTTCTTGGGAACACTCTGATAACAGCAATGGCCATGTGGCTGGGCTGGCAGATGGCCAGGGCAGCGCTGCTGTCTCTGTGCTGCTGTACCAGACAGGTTGGAACTCCAGTGTGATCTCGAGTCGAAGGGACTGTGACCTGTGGATTAGTCCAATGGGAACAGGACACCCCAAAGGAGCTGTGGCCATGAATAAGTCCACACCAGAGCAAGTACATCTCAAAACATCTGTGGCCATGGTTATGATTGTGCTGCAGCGGTTATACCTATGAAGGAACTGCAGCCCAAAGATAAGTGCACACTGGAGAAGGTACACCTCCAAGCATCTGCAGCTGTGGAGAAGTCCATGCGGTAGCAAGTGCACCCTGAAGCATCAGTGGCTGTGTGTGATGTCATGCTGGAGCACATCAGAGCATATGGCCATGTATAAAATCATGATAGAGCAGGTCTACCCCTGGTCAGAGAGCCGACAGAAGTATGGCCATGTTAGAACAGAGTCACTCCTGAAGGGACTGTGGCTGTGGGTAAGGCCATGCAGAGCAGTTTCTAGAGGAACTGCTGCCATACGTAAAGCCATGCTGGACCAGGTATATCTCTAAAGGCATTATGGCCCATGGATAAGGTCATGGTGGAGCAGGTGCACTCAAAGCAACTGTGGCTGTGGATAAGTCTATGCCTTAGCAGGTATACCCCTGAAGAGACTGTGGGTCATAGATAAGGCTACACTTGGAGCAGGTACCCCCCTAAGGGGCTGCAGTCTGTGGATAAGGCCAAGAAGGAGCAGGGACAAGGGGAGGAGTTCATTGCTATGTAAAAGCCTACAATCTGGCCCAAAGGGACCAGGTGTGCAGATTGCAATGGAAATACCTTTAAATTGCTGTAGCCCATGATTTAAGTTGTATGTTACATTTTAGGGATTACTATAGTAGGAACCACCTGAACCAGTGGAGGACAAGCCTTACAAGAAGCAGTGCAAGTGCAGCAGTGACCCGATCTGAGCTGGCTTTGGTGCCCAGGAACTCTGCACAACACACCACCTCTGCTGCCCTGAGTGACCACCATAGCAGATGGAGCCCAAAGTCATGGACTAAACCAACTCAGTGGACATCTGTGGACATTACAAAGACATTTTACAGGGGTAGTCCATAGACCAGGGGAATGTTATCAGTGTATTATAGCAAAGGACGGGAAGGGGAGGTGGTGGTTAATGAGGTGGTATTGGGTAGCGTGGCGCCTGAGCATGACGTAAATGGTATGGAATAAGGGGTGAAGAATCTGCTGGTTTTGGCTGGCAGAGTCAATTTTCTTCATAGTAGCTGGTACAGGGCTACGTTTTGGATTTGTGCTGAAAACAGTATTGATAACACAGAGATGTTTTTGTTACTGCTGAGCAGCTTACACAGAGCCAAGGCCTTTTCTGTTTCTCACGCCATCCCACCAGCGAGTGGGCTGGGGGTGCACAGGAAGCTGGGAGGGGACACAGCTGGGACAGCTGACCAACCATCTGACCAAAGGGATATTCTCTACCATATGACATCATGCTCAGCATATAAAGCTGAGGTAAGAAGAGGGAAGGAGGAGGACATTTGGAGTGATGGCGTTCGTTTTCCCAAGCAACTGTTGGGCGTGATGGAGCCCTGCTTTCCCGGAGATGCTGAACACCCGCCTGCTGATGGGACGTAGTGAATGAATTCCTTGTTTTACTTTGCTTGAGTGCGCGTCTCTTGCTTTACCTGTTAAACTGTCCTTATCTCATCCCACGAGTATTCTCACTTTGACTCTTCCAATTCTCTCCCTGGTCCTGCTCTGGGGGGATTGAGGGAGCAGCTGTGTGGTGCTCAGTTGCCAGCTGGGGTTTAATCATGACATGTTGAAAAATGGTTCTAATTTGACTGAGCTCTACACTATTAATAATTCCTTTTGAAAATGATTAGTGAAAGTCTCAAAGTAAGGAAAATTATTAGAATTTTAGCTTGCATAAGTAGACATGACTGTAGATATGCTCAGCTGTCTGTTCATGCAGCAAGTTAAACTGTTGTTTGCAATGTTGCTATTTTTGATCTATAAACTGGCATAATTTCCTTTTCTTCTAATTCTGCTCCCTGACTGATGGCATCTAGATCCAAACTGGAAGATGGACACTGTTGTACTCAAAAAGCTAAACAGAAAGCTAGGAAATAAAAGCTTTTTTCTTAATTTATCAATTGCCTAATAAATGGCAACATAAACATTAAATACCATTGCTCACTCTCAGGTAGTAAAGTCATAGGGGCAAATATTTCTAACTTTAACAGGCTACTGGCAAAATTTGGTTGCCATAGAAGTATTCAGTATATAGCTATTACTCGTATCTTCACAGCCCAGTACTGCTGAAGGGAGAATCTGAAAACCAGGTGATAAAGTGTTAGAAAGCAGTCAGTCAAACAGAGGACATTTTATTTTCTGCAATCTGTGGAATTTTTTGCTTCTGAATAATATGATCAATTTGAAAAAATATTGCCTGTTATGATAACTTTAAAAGATGTCATGTCTAATTCTTCTGATTGTGTTCTACTTAATATACTTACATACACCCAGATTCTTTTCTGACATGTTTTAGAGCATCCCTCTACATTCAGAAGATATTTTAAAAAAAATATTTTTAAAGTGAATTTACAGCCTTGCTGACAGCAACAACCATTTTCTAAAAGACTTTAGAGGGCCAAACATTCACTTTTTTGAATAATTTTGGAAGTCTTACAAAACCCCAATAGTTTTCAATTAAATAACATTTACTTACAGTGAGAGAATGTGGCCCTGAAGCCAACATCAGTGTCTGAGCTGTCTGAGACAAATTTGACCCACAAGACATGTCCAACAGTAGATATATAATTTGAAGGCAAGGAGTTCCCACAGAATCGTTCTGCCAGTGTGCCTGTATCATTCCCTTCACGAATCTCCAGGTAATCTTTGGTGCAGCCGCTACTGTCTTCCACCTGAAATGTTCTGTTTCAATAGCAGTAAAAAAGCATTAGCAGGCATATGACTGGCACATACTTCAGAGCTTGCCCTCCCAGGCCACAAATCCCTCTGTAGCTGATATTCTACCACAACAGTTAAGAAGAGGGCAGCAACAAAACCCTCCAGAACCCAGAAGTCACTGCTCATCACCTGGCAGTGCTGCTGATCCAGGACTCTTTCCTTTCTAGCCCCTAATTTTATGACAGGGTCTTAGTTTGCAAAGTTATAATTTTTAAAGAGTTCTCAAACCCTTGCAATATTTCTTGGTTCTCCAACAACAACTGTGAAACACAGAAAGTCTCTGACACACAAAACAGATTTCTAATATAAGCCCAGGTCAGACTATTTACTGAGTGCCCATCTATTGAGTGCAGAGAATACTTTTAGCCTTACAAATCAGTTTACAGTCCTTCCATATGTGTGTTATTTCAGTACACTCTCTGGTGAGAAAGCAGTTTCCAGAGGCCTAGATTCATTTGTAGTTAACACCTAAGAGCTCAGAAATCCTTTAGCAGTTTCTCCAGAATTAGAAAATATTACTGCTTCTTTGGCCTCTCTGAGTTTCAGATAGCTGTGTATGCAAAATAAAAGTAAGTATTGCTAAGAGCACGTCTAAACCAATTTTTACATCAGAAAATGAATGGGATTTAGTAATCAAATTATAAATTCTAAATTATTGCACCAAGCTGATTGCTAAATATATTCTAAAAATAATTGAGTTATTCTATAAGTGAAATGCTTTGATTCCATACAATACACTCTTCAGAAGCAGGCTATTAATATATACTAAGGATTCCAGCGAGTGCCTCTTATAACCAATGCCACAAATATTTATGCTTTCTGATTTTCTGGTAACAACTCCTCCTCTTCAGTCCTGAATATAGCCATATGTGTTCAGTGTACATGCTGTGAAATGGTTCCAACTACTCATCTGGATATACTTCAGACTAATTTAAAGCTAAGCCTCAAATTGCAAGACAGGCATTTCTGCTCAGACTGAGCAGAAGAAAATGAATGCCTCATGCCAACAAAACTTTATAAACCCCTAATATTAAATAAAATAAAATAAATATTGCTTTCTAACACAATTACTCCATGCTTTCCAGTATTTTCAGCTTGCCTTTCAGCTATGCATAACTGAAGAAAAAGAGTTTACATCTACTCAGTGTCACTTCATATAAGTGAAAGCATGTTTCTGCTTCATGCTAGATTTCTGTTTTGGTTTTGAAAAGTTGTTATTCATAGCAAATATTTTTAAAAATGTTTTCTGGCTGTAGTATTTCTGCTTTGCTTCAGTGAGTAAAGGAGGAATAGAATGTTCTTTTTATTGAGTTAGTGAATCAGTATGTGCCTAACAAATTGCACCTTGTGCAGTCAGCGTATTACTGGGCAAATTTTCTTTTTGTTCTGATTAACTGTAAATTCAGGTTTCAGAATTACTTTTCTTTTCCTGCTCATTCTTGATATGCTTTGCAAAGGTTCAGTGTTCTCTGTCTTGGCAGCAGCCACTGTTTGATGCCGGGAAACAAATAGGCTCAGAAATCCACTTCATGGGTAAAAAACAACCTAACGACCCTGGTAAAGGACTCCACATTGTTCTGTGGATCACGCAGGACTTTCCTGTCAGAAGCCTTCAAAGGAAAGTTACTTTGCTGAAGGGAAAACAAAATTCCTTCAGATACTTTCCTGGCTCCTTTGTACCTCCACTGCTATAATTGCTGGAGATATTTTGAAGACTTTAATATCAATTCTAACCTTACAATCTGTGGAGTATCTGGGCCCTTTATATTACTCAGCTACACAACAAATACTACAATGAAACTGGTAGTAAGGACATATTAGGAATTTCCTTTGTAAAGAAAAGGTAGAGCAATGCTAAATTTCCTCTTCTTGTTTATAAGTGAATTGAGAATAGGCTTCTTCAGCATCCCATGTTGCTCAAACAATAAACCACCTATTTATATAATGCTGTATATGCCTTAATATAAGCAATGACTAAGACAGGAGAGCACTGATTGCAAGCTGCCACTAACCACTGCTGTGTTCTCTTTCCAACTTAACTTACTCTAAAAACATGTTTCAGCTTTATCATTTGCTAATTACATTTCCTAAGAAACACAGATCACCCTTCCTTCAGATCTGTTAAAGGGCTGAATAATAACCCTTGTTAATGCATTTACATGAAGGACAGCTGCAGCCGGTTGCCAGGGGAGCTGAAAATCGTCCAGACACACTCGGTGTTGAGTGGATATTGCTCAGGATAGCCAGGGCTGTTGAAAGCTCCTCTCTCCATGTGGAAAGTACCCCCGCAGGCTGCAACAAGAAGGAGATAGCAGAGGCTTCAGAAGGATGACATAAAAAAACCCCACCCTGACAGAGCTAGAACATTTGCTAATGAAGAAAGCATTTCTCCTTGTGTCCTTGTTCTTTAGCTGTTGATATATTTGCTGAGACCTTGGGCAAAAAAGAGGAAGGGCAATAGGGGAGTTTGAAAGAGAGAATGTCAGAGAGACAAAGAGACACAGGATCTGTTCTTTTTCTAAAAAGTCAGAGGCATAAGGTACCTGTCATATTGGCTTACATGATGATGATGCAGCATAGGTGGCATGGAAGCCTCTGGCAGTAATGTTGTTGTTGTCAGAGATGAAGTTCACCACCAAGGCATTACCAAAAGAAGTAATAGGATGTGGTATAGTAGTGCCACAGTAACGGCCTGAAATAGAACAAGCCAGAGAGAAAGAAAAAAAAAAGAGTGTTAAGCATGTAATTATTATGGCTAATTTAACATTTGGGGCTAATGCCTGACAGCAACCAGGAGTAACATCTGTTGCTTACAATTGCAGTTGTCAATTCAATCTACGTAAAAATGAAATACTCCATTTCATTAGCACAGAACTCAACTCTGTTGGCATTTTTTTTTAACAGAGGAACGACCTCCTGCACTCCAGGCACCCTAGTCACTGGCTATTCTGTCATTGAATATGCATTCTGTTAATGCTATCCAGAAATTACAGCCTAATTGGAAAAAAAAAATAATCCCGTCAAATATATCTGACAGTACTTTCCATTTCACTCAGGTGGTTTCTGATGAATAAAACAAGTGACAAATAACAGACCAATTCTCCTGTAATGGATTGTAACATGGGGATTAGGGACATGAACCATGATCTAGCAGAAAGGCATCTGACAGGAAAGAGAAAGATAGCAGCTAGTATCTTGGTCCTGTTGTCAAGTGAAAGCCAAGGGTAGGAGACCAAAAAATGAATTATGTTTTTAGTTACAAACTATCTAAATTGAGTGCAGTGCCACTCCTGCCAAGGGAACCTACATAAAAACAGAGTAAGGGAGGGCATAATCAGGCACAAATATTCCAAATTTCCCAGAAAGGAATTTGAGGCAACCCTGCAGATGTGAGGGGAGTCAGGACCACCCTGTGGCCAGTGGCCTCTCATGGCTTCCTGGCAGTATAAGCACTGAATTTTGCTGCTCCAGACTGCTCCTGCCACTTTAAAGTGATGGCTCTGGCCAGAGATGTCAAGAGAAAGCAGTAGAAAATTCAGGAACAAGCAGAAAATCAGGCTTTCATGGGGCTTGAGGAAAATCCATTTTCTGCTCCCAGAAATCCACAGCTCTTTTCACCTATGTTTAGCGTGGACTGTGCTTATGAGCATAGGTTATGTTATGTTTTTGTACAGTTATTTGGGAATTCAGTATAAACTAAATTGCTTAGTTCCCAATATTGTTCAGCTACAGGGGAAGGAAAAGGCAGCTGGAGTCAAGTCCAAACTGCAGGTTAGTAGAAACACAGTCAGAGCCTGGGAGGACTGTGCCATTCACACTGAAGACTTATAATCCATCCCCAGCCTTCTCGGCCCTGAGCGGCCAAGGAGCTTCCTTTATCAGAGAAAACCCATGAAACAAGAGGACATTAACAGAAAACCTTCTCCTGCATAACTTGGGTGTAGTTCTGTATGTGAAATAAATAAGGAAAGGTACAATACCTTGAAGAGGAGCCTTGTTGTTATTCCCATCCAAAATCTCCACAAAATCTGTTGTACAGTTTTGTCTATTGTTTTCAATATCAAAGTCAGTGAATGAGAGTGTGATGTGGTTGACTGGCAACAGCAGAGAGTAAAAACTTAAAAAGAAGTCTGGCATTTCACAGAGAAATTATTACATGTAAACAAATGTACCATCTTCTCTCCCCTGAAGTCAATCAATCCCTATAAAGCATAACATCTGAAGTAGTTTAATCTCTGATATATTGAGTGAATATGATGGATGTGCATTCATCCTTACTGCAACGGTCCTGGTAAATCTCTTCATATTTCAGTACTTTCTAGTAAAATCAACATTAGAAGCATAGTATTTAACACATACACGAGTCTAAATTTCCTAATATTGGAACAGCTTCACTATATACTGAACGTGTCAACAAACACAACATGGAAAATTTACACACATTCAGAAACAACATATTTTTATATATACGTGACTTTCTGTCCCTTTGCAATCTATACCATAGATCCAGACAAAATGTGAATTGATGCTGCCCTGCTCCAGGCTTAGAAAGAGCTGGTTCTTTCATGGTTTTGTAATGTTCCACATGAATCAATTGGACTGGTTAAAGGATCATTAACTACCCTCAGCTATATTTATACAGAATTGGATTTTCCACATCCTTGGACTGCAGGCTGCGTCCTGAAAAAAAGAATTTTTGACTCAGGGTATTTTTGACTCTCGTATTACTCTTGCTTGTCTGATATGAACAAAGGTGAAGTCACAACTGGAATAGAGGCTGTTCTCACCAGCAGTCTGTGACAGTAGTTACTCCTGGCCTTAGAGTTCCTATGCAGTTTGAATGAGTCAGAAAGAATCTCACAATTTAGGTGATAACTAAGTTTTCTCCCACATTGACCAAGCTTGAATTTGACACAAATATTTTGCTTCTCACTGGGCTACAATTAATTAGCTAGAATAAGCTGAAATGACAGACATGGACCCAGGCATTGCATTCAGCAGGGTGCCAGTGACTGGCATTCAGCTGCATGGTCTGCATGGCACTCTCTTGTGTCCTATCCAGTCAATCAATTACTACTATCAATGCACATCCTCAGGATACAAAGCAAAAAGGGAAAACACAGTGGGTGGCAAGAGCAGAAGACTTGTTGGCCTTCTCAGTAAAAGCAGAGCAGGAACTCTGCTGTGGTTTGTGATTGGTTTAATCTATTGTATATGGCTATACCCTGTAATGCTGTGTGACTGGCCTAATGAAGCCATGTGTACCTGTAACGTGTGGTATGTGGTGGTCCTGGTGGTAAGTGGAGGAAGTCACTACATACACAGGCTACTTCTTATACAGCATTTTTCTGGTCTCTGATACTGATGTGATTCAGGACATGATAGTTATGTATGAGTTTTCAACCTGGATCCAGGAAAAGACTGCCTTTAAAAATAAATGTTGTGTAGGTGAGGAACAGCTTTGACAATGTCCTTTTCATGTATCCACATAAGAACCTACGCTTAAAAAAAAAAAGTATTGCTTATCTCTTGACTTTTGTTTTGGTATTCTTTGGAAAATTGATTTTAATTTTATAACTTAACAAAATAAACTTATAAATGTGGCTGGAACATTCTATGATTTTAACAACAATGACTAAATATCAGATGGATAACTGAAGTTCAGTAGTTGTTATTAAAAATAAACATTTATTTTAAATTATGTCACCAGAATACTATTACCCAACTGTAAATATAACAAATACAAACTTCACATAGTATTCAACACCTTATTTATAATTGCAATACTCGGGTCACAGTAAATCAGCTAAGATGACAAAGTTGTAAACTGTTTTCCTCACTGTGCACTAAATCTTTTACAGTGAAATCTGACTTAAAACAGATTAGGAGAGCCACACTCTCCAACTACCAGGATGCACAACTTCCTAGAGAAATAAAGGAGGAATTCTGTATTGTTATTACAGAAAAGAAGATGAGGAAGTTAGTCATCCCAACTAACTATAAGAGATGTTTTTACTTACATGGTTCCTGAGCCTGAATAATCCAGCTGCAGTTCTGATTGTTTGGATATTTGGCAGGATACAGAGGAGAGGAAATTGCTGCCCCAGCTGAATCTGACTCTATGAAACTTCCGCATGCTGTAGAATGAAACATATACACACATAGATATTTATACATACAAAACACATATCAGAGATTCTGTGGTGAAAATGAATGCATAAAATGTAACGTGCTACATCAGTGTGAAATGAGGATAAAATTCATGACAGTAATTTATCAGAAGAGACTTGGGTCTAGCTCCCAGCACCAGGTGTACTTTCTTGACCTGGATCCACAGGACATGCTGCACCTGGCTGACCATCTGAGAGAAGACTTGGGAACAGACCTCATCTTTATCAGCTCCTCATAGCCCAGAAGAAAAATCTTGGGGCCAAAATAACTTGGTTTCAGAGTAGTGCAAACATACACCCATTTCTCTGATCATTTGCCTGTGTTGGCAACTAGGAAGAAAAAAAAAATCGTAAGCAACTCTCCAGAACCCTCCAGTGTCCAAGGATGGCATAATATTGTGTTAGCATGATCCTCTTGTGAGCTGCGTCAACAGAACTGTAACTGTGTAAAATGCTGCATGGGTGCAAGAGCTTCGCTGACTGCATTGGGTCGGGGCAACCCCAAGTACAAATACA